CCTCGGTAATTAAAAATCCACCATCACAATGAAGATTATAGTTTTTTTGCTACAAGAGATAATACATATCTCTAAACATCAGTAAAAAACCATCACCGATCTTCCCTTCTAAACCTGCTCTCCCGACCGAGTAACACCGTCGATCAACATCATCTTTCTCACTACAATACCGTTACTGGAAAATAACCTTGAATAGAGATTTTAACTCTCTAGAAGTGGAAGTTAACCAATCCAAAACTCATAGGAATACCGCCCTTCTCTCAAAGGTAAAGTCTCTCTCTTGGAGACCCATCTCCATATTGGAGATCCATTCCCATAATCCCTAAAGGGGTGACCATCAAAAGATGCGCATACTCTAATCTTTAGAAGAAAATATGGGTATAGTGATTTAGCTATCACCAAACCCAACAAAAATATGGCACACTTGAAACATATTTCATATTTTTAAACTATTATTTAACGAGTTTCTCAAGTGGTTAGACTGGTTTTGACTAACAGACACCTCACGCAAGTTTAATAGCCTCAGCCTCATAATTGTGATTCATACTATTTATTTGTTAAAGGGATAGATTTTCGCATCAGTGCAATTGCATACAACGGCACCTCAAAGCTAGCCAAAATGATCCACAAACACTCAAAATTTTAATTTCAGCTTCTTTATAAAATTTAAAGTTCCAAAAATAGTGTAGATCTATAAATACTTGAGAATCTTGAATGATCAATATAATGTGTTACAAGATATATTATTTTAAGGACTTAAAACCTTTTTTGGATACGGTTTGTATAGAGCCTAGCTTTAAATAGTGTCAAGAAATATGGTTTCAATACTAGAAATGTTTGTGAAAGCCTTAAAATATATTTTCATATTTAGTTATAAAGTTTAAAGCTTCATAAATAGCGTAGATCGACAAATCTATGAAAACTTGAAAATCTTGAAAATTGACGGTCCAAAAATGTGTTACAAAATACACAATTTCTAAAACTTAAAATCCATTTTTTTTTCTAATTTCCATGCATCCAAATATCGAGATGATCAATTTGAGGATATTTGGGCATCAAAACAACCTCTTCTAGTGAAAATTTTTAGATAGGTTCAAATTTGATTGTTTAAAGCCTCGGCTCTATATAAACTTTTCCCATCTTTTTTTTCACATCCATTGGACATGAGGTTGAGAAGATCAATTGAAGGGCCTTCCCATGTTAAGACAACCTTTTCTGATGGATTTATGAGGTGTACCTTATATCGAAGTATGTACAAGGTTGACAACTTATATAATCTTCTTCCTTATTATTGGGTTGATATAATTTTCTTGCGGAAAGAAACAAATTAATTTAATTTTTTGGAAATGCGTGCAATAAGATCATTCATTTTGATATAAGGAAATCACAATCATGATTGTCCGTTAGTTATGAAACTAGGTGGTTGAAGACAACATCATTAACTGCCCACAAAGTCCAAAATAAGAGTTTTCAAATATTGTGACACACTTCAATTTGTAAGATATCAGCTAAAAATCATTATAACATCTTTATACTTAAGGTCAATGGTTTTGTAATATACAATCCCATCTTTTTTTTCTTTTGTTTTTTTTATTAGCAAGATTGTCATTTTGCCCATAAGCTGCGTTCCAGTTCTCTAAAGGAGTATTATCGTTGTCATAAAAAACTAGGCCATCCAAAGCGTGCCTTTAATTGTTACCAAAACCTTAAAACCAATTATATCGGCATTGACCAATATGGTTGTGCAAAAATTTAGATGTTTAAGCATTAAAAATAATGTATATAGTAACAATTTATCTATAGATAGTCTATTTCACCTTTAAAATAAGTGTTCACGGATCTGTAAGATCTGTACCAAACTTTAGTTTTAAATTTCATAGTTTGTGTTGGAAATTGATCCTAGAGCCATCATAGATATTTATGATGCCTAAAGTGCTTTCCAAACAAGGATTACAGGTGAGACTTTACTTCTTCTTTTTTTTATAAAGCCTAGGCCTTATAAAAATTTCACCCTTTTGTTAAACTTATCTTAGATTTAAGTTTGGATTACTCACTCTCTCCCTCAAACCACAAAACCTATAGTTCTCTTTAAGTTTTTCGCTTTTCTGTAAGGAAAAAGTTTATATAAGGGTGAGGCCCCAAACCATCAAATTAAAGCACACCACAAAATTTATTGGAAGAGGTTTTGATGATGAAAACCTTTGATATGATCATCTCGACATCAAGGTGTATGGACTTGAGAAAAAAAATAGATTTCAAAGTCTTAGAAATAGTGCATCTTGTAATATATTATCTAGACCATCAATTTTTAAGTTTTTCAAGTGTTCATAGATCTACTCGATCTGCACTATTTTCGAATCTTTACATTTTACAATTAAAGATGAAAATGAATTTTCAGACCATCGAAAAGATTTATGATACTGGAATAATATATGTTGATACTATTTAAGGGTGCACCATACTTTGATTGTTTAGGGCCTCAGCCTTATACAAACCACACCCTTTTTGTAAAGCAAACAATTTTTCCTTTTATTTGCAGTAAGAAGAAAGAAAAGGATGAGAAGCTAACTTGGGTGAGGCCAGAGAGTTAAGAATAAGGTTTAACTTGATCTCCCCATCTCTCTCAAGTTTTCCCCTTTAAGAAGAGATACTTTTGAAAGCAGAAAATAAAGTAAGAAAATAAAGCTTTGTTGATGTGCCTATCTCTCTTTTTCTTCTCCTTTTTCTTTGGAGGAAAATATTGTAATGATGATTTTTACAATGAATGAAGTTTCCCTTGATGATCTCTCTCTCCTGATAAAGGTTGACTCAATTAATCTCTCTACTACAAAACTTGTGAACTGTAAGTTCTACACTATCGTGGTTTAAGAACAGTGAGGAACTGAAACTTTCTGGTAACCCGTCTCAAGCCAAGTTAAAAGAGGTGGGTTGTGTTAGGTAGGAAGCCAATATAATACTTTTCCCAAACTTTTTATGAATCTTGAATCCACATTAGCCTATAGTTGGGAAAAAGCTCTCATGATGATGATGACACTATAGTTGTTTATATATGAGACAGACTGGGTGGTGTTTCAAAACAAGTTCAGACTTCGGAGAGCTCTAGTTCCAAACTACAATGGACCGAAAAAATGCGGACTTCATGTGTCAGATCAACTTACAAGATTAACCAGAGCTACTGAGTTTACTGTTTCAAACTTTAAACTGGTTGTCTTTCATGTTTCCAGCCTAAACTCATTAGCACCCATTCAATCGATCTTCCACAATTTTTCACCGCAGTTAAAGTGGGAAGTGTTGAACCCCTCGTTTTGGCAATGGTTGGCTTAACTACTCATTGCTACTCTGCATTTTCATTTCTCTGAAAACTGGTATGTTTCATCCTTTCACATGCTCCCACTTGAACAATGAATTTAAGATTTATGAGACCTCAAATTGGATTGAAGAATTAGCTTTTCAATATAGAGAAAGATAAACAAAGGAGGGAAATACTGTCCCAGAAAGCTTTGCGCACAATTTTTGGTCAAAGATAGATTCTTCCCTACTTCTCAACTGTTTTTGTCAAATTTGATTCACAGGGTTCACAACTATCCCTGACGTTTCCAGCCAAAAGGAAAATCATATTTGGCCAAAGTATTCCCAAGAAAGTTCCATCTCTGAAAATAATTCTCTAACGAATGTTTTAGTCTGCTTAGTTTCATCTCAAGTAAATACTTGTCCAAACTCCGGAAAATAATTCTCGAATGAGTGTTTTAGTCCGCTCAGTTTCATCTCAAGTGAATACTTGTCCAAACTCCATTATTCACAGAAACTTTGTGCCGAAGGTGCTAATGCTTCAAACACAGTAGGAGCATCCCATGACTCGGGGTCCAACCAAAACAACAGTCAAATTGTTGGTGATTTTTCACCAAGTAGAAAATTCCTTGAAATTATAGGTTAATTGACTAGCCAAGGTTCACAGGTGAAATGATGATCATAGTTTAGAGATTACCCTGTGTTTTGGAGCGAAAGCATTCCAACAAGGTGACATAAGAAATAGACCTCTCTTCCCAAAGATCAGCATCACATTTGAGAAGAAATCTTGAGCCTTGTCTCCATGAGTTCTGGCCACCATTGACAGAGGCTTTGGTTCGGCAAAGCATTGGTTCCCTCCATCAGATGAAATATGATTTTTGCCACAGTTGCATAGTTTGGAGTTATCTTCTACTCCCCGTTTCTGGTGATTCTCACATTGTTAAAGACTGCTGTCTGAAGATCATCTCAGATGTTTAGGCTTTAAAAGACCCTAAAGTGAACAACAGAAATAGACTGAACCACAGAAAGGGACTGTATATGCAAATTCTACTGTTGTTGACAAATTAGAGACTTGTTTCTATATGTGAGAGACAGAGAGAGAGAGATTGTGCATGCAGACTACATTCATCAACTGATTACTTCTCTTGAGATTGCCGGGCTCAGAGAGAACATTCTACTCTGAATGACTTGGAATGTGACTCTCTCTCTCTCTCTCTCTCTCTCTCCTCCGTCGTCGTCACACACGATATATCTTCTTACTACGTAAGACGAACGAAGAACGTACGTACTACTACTACGTACTACGTACTTAGTATACTAGTATACGTGGTTGTTG